TTTTTTTGTATAGCCAACGAACAAACTCATAATAGTGTATAAGTTATGGTATGAAATAACTTGTATGTGTAGTAGTATGTATTGGGATCGAATATGTTACGAAGTTCGGCCAACAATTTCGACTTTGATAGTGGCTGGCTTCGAGATGTTTCTCCTCTTCCTTCTCTTCTTCCCTCTTTCTAAATGCAACGAAATTCCTAAATCATACAAACATAGTTCAGCTGAGACTTCCAGACTTGGCAACAGCCAACGACCGGACAACATCAAGCAGTTGGCGGAGGTGCGAAGTGATTTAAACTAGAAGTCGTTGTGCCTACACTCACATTATAGACGCGCAGTTGAGAAGTGATCAGAATGAAGTGAACCAAAATCAACCAAAACCAGATAGGCCAAATCCATAACCCTAATTTACGGCTTTAGTGTTAGCTTTACTGTTGTAGAGCAAAACGTTGATAGTTGTCGACCAAAGCTACATGCTTGCAGATATAGGTATCCAGAACTTCCTTCAAAACAGTTAGGTTGAATTGAATTGAAGAGTTGAGCTGATCAACTAACACAAGTTCTCAAACACATGAAATCAACATAACAATAAGTCCTCAAATCTGAATAAAAGTAGGCGTAGGGGTACGGTAGTTGCTGTTAATACGCAAGTGCAGACTGATACCCGTGTGTAAACAGGTAGCACCGCGCGAAGCATCTCTCGTTAGGCTGACGAACGCAACAAAATGTACATGCCCGTCCGTGGCAATTTGCCAATTTTTGCAGAGATTCGTTGTGGGACCTCTGTTGGCACGGTGCCACGGCCGTGCCCCGCTTCAACTCCGGTCCGCACATTTTTGGCTCGCGAATGAAAGCTTGGTTAGGATGGGATAACGAAAGAAGTTGGGGGAGTTGATTTCATTCAAAACTAAAAACAAAAATCGAATACGATCGCTCAGCTTTGCCATGTTGCCCATTCTTCGTAACTACGACCAAGGTTAATATTGCATCAAATTTGTCATTGGAACTAAACTTGTTGACGGAAGGGCTATCTTGAAAATAACCCGAGTGATTGAATTGATTCTGGTGAAACAACGGTTGGCCCTAATCGCCCTAAAAAGACCTTGCTACTTTTCCAATCGTTGAGATTTGGAAGCTGGTTAAAGTAGCAGATAATGTCGCCTAATTAATTGTTTTTTTTTTCTTGCCGGAGCGACTTGAACTGATTTTGTTTGTAATGGAATGGGCTTGGTAATGAACTGTAGATGGTTACC